CTCCAGCTGGTTACATCATCATAAAGAATTGTGCGGTTGGCCAGTAGACAACAGATCTCTATCACAGGACAAATTTATATCGTTTCTATCGTATATCTTTTATATCGCACATTCTTAGTTTAAACCAATTTTGTACTTTTACAAACTCCATTTCCGTCATTTCCAGCATCTTTTCTATGTTTTTACCCAAGCAAAACAACGTGGTGTGGGGAAACAACTTTGGTCCCAATATAGAACCCTGTGGAACCCCACATACAATATTGCAAAGTTCAGATCTTACACCATTAATTTGTACAAACTGTTTCTTATTGGTTAAATAACTTGATACCCACTGTAGTGCTGGACCTCTTGTACCATATTTGTTTAATTTCTCCAGAAGGTTACTGTGGTCAGTGGTATCAARTGCTTTTTTTAATTCAACAAAAACACTGACACAGTATTATTTTTGTCTTGTGGGTATCAAATTATTTCTCCCACTGTGTGTGTGTGTGTGTGTGTGTGTGTGTTCATATTTTGTCAGGTAGAATGAACCATTTCCTCCTTGTGTCTTTGAACAGAGTACAGATAAAACGTCTCATTAGGAAGAACGCCGTTTATGAGAAGCGCTCGTCCTTCAGGCGCTGCTGCTGGTACGTGCATGCAGAGGTCCTGTCACGTTTTGGTCAAGAGGCTCTCCCAGTTCCATGCCAGTGGACCCACCTCACGATAACTCAAGAAGAGACGCGTGAAGACCACCAGGCAGCCACAGGTTCTCAAGGAAACTCCCCCACAACACCTCAAACTTCTACAGCTCACTCATCGTCCAACAAGAGGAAGAGCATCAACAACATGTCAATCACCAAGTTTATGAAGAGATGCCCCGATTCTGATCAGGTGATTTAAAACAGCTACGTTTTTATGCATTTCAGTCGTGCTCTGGTTATTTTTATTTACTTATTTTAAGAAGAACCAATCAAGAAGAAATAATAGACTGACTTTTACTGTGTTTTTTTTTTTTCTGTTAGACTGAAGCAGTGGAAGCTGATGGTTTTCAGGCTGACACTGAAGACTGTGAGGACGACTGTGTCATCATCTCTACTCAAACTGGTAAGTTACATCAAAGGAGTAAAAGGATGTGTGTATTTTCAGGTAAAATAACTGTGATGTGACWTTTTTAGGCTCTAAATAAAGAAGACCTCCGACCCAGCTGCTGTCTGTAAGCAGATCAGCTTCGTGTCCACGACCTGAGGACACGAGGCTGCACCAACACTCTGCTTTTGTTTGTTCTTTAACTTACACTTACTGGAGCCAAACCCAGCAAATCAATTCCTCAAGGAAGAAGCAACAAAACCCTTAATTTTTTTTCCCTTTCAAAGCACATGTTGATAATTTGTGATTAAAACAAAAAATTGTGTAATTAAAACAGCTCATCTAATTATTGGGCCCAGATAAAGAAATTTATTTTTACAAGTATTTGCAACATTAAAAAAATAACAAATTTTTGTGTGGGAATCCCAAGCATGTATTTTTTAAGTGTAAATAGTTTTAGCATAAATTTGTTTTGGGAAACAAAAACGTTGCAGTTCATCGGCACAGTTTGGTGATTTCATTGGTTTCATTTATTGTACCGTCTCTGAGGAGCTGAGAGGTCTGTACCTGTACAGTTAGTGTCAGTGTTTTATATATATGTATTTCTGTATTATTGTTTCTTTTTTCAGTTTACTTGAGCAAGATAAATTCATTAAACAAATAAAAGTACTTCACATCTGTTAGATTCATTTCATTTTTTCCATTTGCCTCAAATTAGTTTTAACAGGTAGTGCAGAAGTAAAACACTAAGGAGGAAAAGTCTTATCAGAAGCTGCAATTTGTGAAATTGTAGATAAAAATTAAACKTCATCTACTGTTTAATATACTTTTATTAATTCAGAAATTAGTAAGACTGTTTCTGTTAAAATATATCAGCAAATATATTTTAATCTACATATTTTCTGATTTAACTCGATGCTGTAATAATTTTTCCTACATGTACAAAAATGTTTTACTCAAAGTTTCTGAGAATTCTTTTGCCTTTTGAAAATATGTTGGGCGGAGTCGTCTTTATTACAAGCAGGTTCAGAAGCAACAGAGCACATCTCAAACATGACATTTAAATCACAGCTGCTCATTAAGTTTACAAAAGTTACAGCACATAATTAACAAGTTAACCCACTTTGAAACAGCCCCTGGGATTTAAGTGCTTGTAAATGTAAAAAAAAAACAACAAGATTTTCCCTCACTCATACTCGAATTGTATGGAGGACCGAAGCTGACGTAATTAAAAATAAAAGCAGAAATACATAAAAGGACAAATAAATAAATACTTAAAAGCACCAATTACATTAAAAAAAGAACTTAATCTCATGTTTAATAATTTAATGCATATATTTTGCCCACTTCCAATAAATTATATATTTTAGCACATAAATTAAAATACAAATTGTTTTGTTTTTTTACTTGTAGATGCATTTGTGTCTACATGATTATATTTAATTACTTGTTTTATTTTTTCCCACAAGTCTTAATTTTCTTGTGCTTTTGCATTTCTCTGTCTCCTGCCTTTACTTTATGCATTTCTGCCTCATTATGCAAATAAGTGGGTGGACCTTGAGTCAGCTCATCTCCTATTGGTCAACAGACAGGAAGCAGCAGGACCCATGTGCCGATCTACTGTGAATGCTTGTGCTGCCTCAGTTTAGTTCAAAGTTTAGTTAAAATAAAGGCACATATGTTTTTTTCTCCTTTCCTTTGTTTAAACTACACTTTAAACCTTAAGCTATTTATTTGTTTGTCCTTTTATGTATTTCTGCTTTTATTTCTAATTATGTCAGTTTTGGTCCTCCACAGCATTGTGCACAACAAACATTTTTCCTCAACAGCTGTTTTAACATTAACTGCATCAATTTTTACTTTTCAGATCAAATTCTCTTTTATATTTGTCTTTAATTCATAAGAGATTTCTTAACCTTGAAATGCTGTCATCTTATCCAAACCTTAAAAGACCCATTTTTATTCAACCATGACGTTTGAGGGAGTAAATATTAAAAACATTGGGCCTCAGGCAAGAACCGTTGGTACGCACAGATTTGTTCTTAAAGAGTAACTTACCCCAAAATTAACTTTTTTTAGCTGATAAACTGTCTAGAATGTGTCTAAAATGTTATATAGTACTGTTTCTGAGCTAATTTTGATGTTTTTGTGTGTATTTGTTCAAATCTCAATTATGCTAATGCTAGCTGCCTGTCACGTTCTCTCGACCTGGCCACACCTCCGCTCTCTAACCCCCCTTCCTCCACCCACACCCCCTCCCCTACCCACTTTGGTGCATTTTTCAAATTTCGCCTTGGGGCGGAGTTATCTTTTCACAGGGGGGGTAAGTTACACTTTAAGTTGTGCGTACGAGTGATTTAGGAGAATTTGTGGCATTCACCAATGTTTTCGTATTCTAAGATTTTTTTCAGATACGAACAAAATTCAGGAGTGGTCCAGACCTGTCGTATATTTTACCAGCAGTCAGTCTGCTGTTATCCAGACGGGTTTTCTTCACTAATAACTTTATATTTCATTAGTTTGAAGATATTTTGAGTAGGGTTGGGCATAATCGTATCGTGTGCAATTAATCGTCAGTAAAACATTAATCGATAAATTTTTGGCAGGTGACAATACGATTAATGCCACCTGGCAGACTAACCGCTTGGTGTTCCTCTCTGATTCAAATATGACCAACATTAAAAAAATTCTGTAATTTATTTATCTACCAACACAATTTAAAGTTTGATGTATAGCCTGAAGTCTGTAATTTTGACACAATTTGGAACAGGTTTTTACGAAGAGACAATTTTCTCCCTATAAATTGGTCATGTGACCAGGATATAAGGGTGTCCAGGGACTCCAGGGGATTAATCGTCAAATTAATCGTTATCGGCTAAATACCACAATTAATCGTGATAATTTTTTGCCAATATTGCCCAACCCTAATTTTGAGTTGAAAAATAAATTACACTCTATGATTATCTTGACAAAAGTCTATTCTGTTTGAATTAGTTATAATTTTAAATGTAATAATTTAGACTAACAATATAAATTGTCCGTCTGTCCGTTTTCTGCCGCTTATCCAGGACCAGGTCTCGGGGGCAGCAGAGAGACCCCGCTCTCCCCAGCGACACCTTCCAGCTCGTCCTGGAGGACTCTGAGACGTTCCCAGACCAGAGGGGATACATAATCCCTCCAGAGAGTCCTGGGTTTTCTCCAAAGTGCCAGACTTATTTTGAAAACAACATTTTAAAATGCTTATTTCAAACCCGCATCTGAGGATATTAAATAAATAAATTTAGGATAAGAATACGAACATGTTCTTGCATGAGGCCCATTGAACACAACGTTGGGTTTAAATCTGTTTCATACTGAATTGATTCTAGACATTATTCTATACTCCTGTAATTAAAATATCAATACTTACATGCAGTACCAGTTTCTTTGTTTCATTTTGCACCTGACTTAAAAGAGAAAACAAATGAGAATTTTTAAATTGGTATTCAGGTACTGCATGTTGTAGATGTCAAAATGGGTTTGAAATGTAAAACTAGACATGGGATGACTTAGAACCACTGTGATCACAAAATGTTTAAAAGAGAGACAACAAAGTGATGTGGTTAGCTTCAGGCCAGAGTGGGTTACTAATCTGAGGACTTCATAATCAACCTTCAAACTTTTTCTTGTTTGGTATTTAAATTTAAGGGTTATTTGCAATTAAGTCTGTTCCTTCAAAGTGCATAGGACTGATCAAATCCAAGCAAAACGTCTAAACTGAAATTCTATAAAATGATCATTTACAGTTGTGTTCAAAATTATTCAACCCCCACCACAATGAAGTGTTTTAGCAAGTTTGACCTTTGTTTTTCATCTTGTTCACAATCAGGTCAAAGAAGGACTTTAATATAAACAAATGCAACTTAAATTACAACAATATTCTTTCTAGTAAACAAATGTAATTTTTGTGATTTCCTCAGTGCCAAAATTATTCAACCCCTTAAAAATGACCACTATATAAGCAGAGCTCTCAATCAGGTGTCTTCAAGTCTGGTGTTGAAAGCACCTGCAGATGTGAACAGAGCCATAATGAGCAGCAATCAAGTAGATTTCAAAGGACTGAGATACTCAGCTCATTCTACACAGTTCGTAGTGTCTTTGCAACATGGTGAAGTCCAGGTGATGGTCMTTTCTCTTCATAAGCAAGGACGCAGAAATAAAAAGATAGCAAAGACATTAAACATTACACGAGACACAACTGGAAGCATAATTCACAAGTTTAAATCTAAAGGCACAGTKCAAACACTACCTGGGCGTGGCAGGAAGAGGTTGCAGTCAATGACTGCTGTCCGTTACCTGAAACAAAAGGTGGACAAACATCCCCGGCTGACAGCTGAGGCACTGCCACRGGACTTGTCAGAGGGAGGCACCCAGGTTTCAGCCCAGATGATAAGACGCACACTGCGAGATGAAGGCCTCCGTGCCAGAACTCCCAGACGCACCCCTCTGCTGACTCCAAAGCACAAGAAGAGTCGACTCCAGTTTGCCGTAAACCATGTGGACAAACCACAAAGGTTTTGGGACACTGTTCTCTGGAGCGACGAGACAAAACTGGAACTCTTTGTGTCTATGGCTCAATGATATGTTTGGAGGAGGAAGAATGAAGCCTATGAAGAAAAGAACACCTTGCCTACTGTGAAGCATGGCGGTGGGTCAGTCATGCTCTGGGGCTGTTTCGCTTCTTCTGGTACAGAGAATCTACACTGTGTGCAAGGTATCATGAACTCAGGTAAATACCAGGAGATCTTGGGTAAAAATATGCAGTCAGTGACAAAGCTGAAGCTTGGGAGATGGACTGTCCAACAAGACAATGGGCCTCATGCAAGAACCGTTGGTACGCACAGATTTGTTCTTAAGTTGTGCGTACGAGTGATTTAGGAGAATTTGTGACATTCACCAATGTTTTCATATTCTAAGATTTTTTTCAGATACGAACAAAATTCAGGAGTGGTCCAGACCTGTCGAATATTTTACCAGCAGTCAGTCTGCTGTTATCCAGACTGAGAGGATTTGGCAAGGACAGATCCAGGGCGCAGGCAAGGTTTTCAAAAATGTAACAAAAAGGTTTAATA